GCCGCTGCAGCCGCTGCAGCCAGGAGAGGGGGGTTTGTCCCCTCCGTGTCCCAGGGGTGTCCACGTTCCCATATTTCATCCTTCTTCCCATCCCCCAGGGCGGATGTGCAACGTCAACATCGACGAGTGCTCCAGCAACCCTTGCCACAACGGGGGCACGTGCAAGGATGGCATCAACGGCTTCACCTGCCTCTGCCCTGAGGGCTTCCATGACCCCAAGTGCCTGTCGGAAGTGAACGAGTGCAACAGCAACCCCTGCATCCACGGGCGATGCCACGACGGCCTCAACGGGTAGGCTGGAGGGCAGGCCAGGCCCTGCCTGGAGGGTACGGGATCCATGAGGAGCACCAGAAAACTTGGATTTGCCATGGCTTAGACATGGCACAAGCATCCAACCCCAGTGCTGGTGCAATTCTGTGCTCTGTGCTAGTCCTGAAGGATGTTTCTCTCTAAAAACAATGAGGGGCTTGACTTTGCTACACTAGGTTGATGATGTTGTGGGGACAGGGTCAGATTGGATCATGCGCCTTATGCACCAAATTTCCCCCCAAAGCTACAGGTGTGATTGCGACCCAGGATGGAGTGGGCCCAACTGTGACATTAACAACGATGAGTGTGAATCCAATCCCTGCATGAATGGTGGCACCTGCAAGGACATGACCAGCGGCTACATCTGTACCTGCAGGGAAGGGTTCAGCGGTAAGGACAAAGCCAGGGATGCTGCCCTGCTCCTTCCATGGAGGGGCCTGGGCGGGAGCTTTACATGGACCACAAGGCTTCATGGTGTGGATAAAAGATGCCTGGTCCTGACGGGAGCGGTGGAAATGCAAGTTGTCTCAGGGTCCTGCAACAGAGCACAGGCTCCCACAGCTTGAGCTAAGAGTAGAAGGCCCTTCAAGGGCAATGGGTGGCTGCTGTTGTCATCATTGCACCCCCAGCACATCCTTGGCCCTCTCCCATGGTGACACCACCAACAGAACCAATGTCTCACATATATATATGTATTTTTTTAAACACAGGACCCAACTGCCAGACCAATATCAACGAATGCGCTTCCAACCCGTGCCTGAACCAGGGGACATGCATTGACGACGTCGCTGGCTACAAGTGCAACTGCCTCCTGCCCTACACAGGTGAGAGGGGGCAGCTCCCCACGCGCAGGGAGTCCCCCCGGCTCCCGCAGTGGTGACACTTGACGTGTGGTTGCAAACCAACCTCGGGGGCACATGCAGCGGGCAGGTGGCCTCGGCGCTGCCCGCGCCGCGCTCGGCCGCGTGCGGAGCGGCAGCTCCACCTCCCCGCTCCGTGCTCCAGCCTGACCTCACTAGAGGAAACGCGAAGGAGCTTTCGGAAGCAGTCGGCCAGACCTTCCTCCCATGCCTCCTCCTCGAGGGCGCCATGCACGGAATGGCCAGGGCTGCTTGGCCAGTCCTGCCCATGAGCCATCCTTGGAGGAAACCTCCGGCTCGGCCCCGTTGTCCGTGTGGGTCTGGGCAGCGAGCGGCCCCTGTTCCCTGCTCCAACTTGCTGGAAAAACAGAGCTCGGCCGGGCTGTGTGAGGCCTCGAGGCCAGGGGGGATCTGCTGACCCGATTCCTGTTTGCCGGCCTCCCGCTTCCTCTTGCACAAATCGGCAACCTGTGCACAATTGTAGGAAGTCGTGACCCATTTCCCGTCTTCGGCAGTAGCCATAGAAACCCCTGGGGGGATGGGGAAGGGGTGAGGCAGGGAGTGGAAGGCTCTGGAAAATAGCAAGGGCCAGTTTGGGAGATACTGGCTGACAAGGAAGATAAGGGCTTGCAGGGAATGTGTCCCTTGGCTGGGCGTAAACAGGAAAAGCGGCTGAACAGAGGAGTGCAAGAGGGGGAAAGACACCCCAACCTGCACTTCCCTTCCTGCAGCTTTTTAGTCGAGCCCAAGTGGTAACAATTGGAAGGATTTGAGGAGAGCTGGGGTCACGGGGCACCCAAGGGTGGTGGAGAAATGTGGCGCTCCCATCTCCCAGCAGTGCTGGAAGAGGTCCAGGAGGCCAGTCCCATGGCTCTGCAGCCTCCCTCTGCGGAGCTGCAGCCCAGACCCTGCCCGAGGGCTGGAAGGAGCCCAGGATGTCTGGGGAAGGCGCTGGGTGTAGCGAGAAGATCGCGGGCTTTGCATCATCATCCTGGGGGATGAGGAGAGGGTGTTGATGGATTTTCATCCCTTTGGGTCTGTCCATCCCGTCGCAGGAGCCACGTGTGAGGATGTGCTGGCCCCTTGTGCCAATGGCCCCTGCAAGAACGGCGGCGAATGCCGGGAGTCGGAGGACTACGAGAGCTTCTCCTGCATTTGCCCATCCGGCTGGCAAGGTACCTGAGCACAGCCAGGGCTTGGGCTGGTGTCTCCACACCAGGAGAGTCCGAGCTGGTGGCGCTGAGCACAACTGGCCCCCTCGGGCACTTTTCTTTCCCGAGCTCCTTGAGGAATGAAAGAAGGAAGAGGGGAGGGAGGGTTGCATGGGGGTGAGAGCAGGGTGTGGAAACCGGGCATGTGGCTGCCTGTGTGACCCACTGGCAGGGAGTACCCTGCGTTGTGCCCATCCTCACCGGAGGCTCCGACCTTCCCCCTTGCTCAACGGCAGGAAATGGGACACAGCCCTGCACCTGCCCTGTGCACAAGGGCTGTTGCAGCCCCTGGTCTGAAGTGGGCCGTGATGTGACACTCCCAGGGCGCAGGCAGCGGTGTCCTTGGGGCTCTTGCTGCCCAACCCCTGTCCTGCTGTGCCCGTCATCTGTCCCGTCATCTGTCCCGCTCTGCCTCGCAGGTCAGACGTGTGAGATCGACATCAACGAGTGCGTGAAGAGCCCCTGCCGTAACGGCGCCACGTGCCAGAACACCAACGGGAGCTACCGCTGCCTGTGCAAGGCAGGCTTCACCGGCCGCAACTGCGACACCGACATCGATGACTGCAAGCCAAGTAAGAGCCCGGGCCGCTCTGGGGCCCTGCCCTGGGCCCGCAGCTCCTCTGCCCCTCCTGGGCCTGAGATGAGCCGTGGAGAGGGCTCCCGTGGGGATAAACGCTGCTTGGGGGCATTTTGGGCCTCGATTAATCTGCGTCAATCCACGGCAAAGCATGTGCCAATAGGAAGGAGCTTATGGGGGCAGTGACGTGCAGGCAGTGAGCAAGTGTGTCCTGCTCTTGCTCCGGGCTCCTGGGTGCTGAGCTGGCCTCCTTCTGTCCCCTGGCTCTGTCCTGTGCTCCAGGGCAGTGCTGTGGGGCAGCTTCTAGACAGAGCCATTGTGTTGAGGCTGGACCCATTACATTTATTGTGCCTGTCCCCTCTGTGCAGATCCGTGCCACAACGGTGGCTCCTGCTCCGATGGAGTTGGCACCTTCTTCTGTGAGTGCCTGGCTGGTTTCCGTGGGCCCAAGTGTGAGGAGGACATCAACGAGTGTGCCAGCAATCCCTGCAAGAACGGTGCCAACTGCACCGACTGTGTCAACAGCTACACTTGCACTTGCCCCTCTGGCTTCAGCGGGATCCACTGTGAGAACAACACACCCGACTGCACGGAGAGGTACTAGCCAAGAGTGCCCCGTGCTGGCCTTGCTGTGGGGCCAGCCTTTAGCTGAGCTGCCCGTGCTGCTTTGGGGCCCACACAAAGGACTGAAGTCCCTGTGCTGCCCTGTAACCTTGGGCAAAGCCTTGCAAAGGGCCCATTGCTCGTGCCCTGTGCTCGCAGGGCAGGTCGGCACGTCAGCCGAGGGCAAAACCTCACGGGAATGTGATGTTTGTGTTCCCAGCTCCTGCTTCAACGGAGGGACCTGCGTGGATGGCATCAACACCTTCACCTGCATGTGCCCACCTGGCTTCACGGGCAGCTACTGCGAGCACGACATCAACGAGTGCGACTCAAAGCCCTGCCTGAACGGGGGCACTTGTCAGGACAGCTACGGGACATACAAGTGCACTTGTCCCCAAGGCTACACCGGCCTCAACTGCCAGGTACAGAACACTCGCCCTGTCGGCTGTGGGTGCTTCTCATGCCGCTGGTCCCAGTCGCTGTTGGTATCTGCTGGCTTGATCTGACCCTCCATCCCTTGCTGTCCTCTCCCTAGAACCTGGTGCGCTGGTGTGACTCCTCTCCCTGCAAAAATGGGGGCAAGTGCTGGCAGACCAACAACCTGTACCGCTGCGAGTGCAACAGCGGGTGGACGGGGCTCTACTGCGACGTGCCCAGTGTCTCCTGCGAGGTGGCTGCCAAGCAGCAAGGTAACCCCCTGCCATCACCCTCCTCTGAGGGTGACAGAGCGCTGGAACAGGCTGCCCGGAAAGGTTGTGGAGTCTCCTTCTCTGGAGATCTTCAAAACCCACTTGGATGCCACCCTGTGCCACGTGCTCTAGGTGACCCTGCGTGTGCAGGGGGGTTGGACTACATGACCTCTAGAGGTCCCTTCCAACCTTCAGCATTCTGTGATTCTATGATTCTATTCTATGATCACTGCTGCCAGCAGCCTCAGCAGGGCTGGGCTTGTGTCCCCAGGAGCAGCAGCCGCCTGTGCTGCTGGGCTTTGCACACAAGTTCTGTTTTGGCACGATGCAGAATGACCTCAAGGGCTGCCGTGATGTGAACGCACTGCCCAAGAGCCTGCAATGCTGTGGGACACATGGGGTGAAGCGTGGCCGGGATGTGTTTCTGTGGTGCTCAGCTGGTCCCCGTGTCTCACCGTGCTCTCCTTGGCAGGGGTCGACGTCGCCCATCTCTGCAGGAACTCGGGGCTCTGCGTGGACACCGGCAACACTCACTTCTGCCGCTGCCAAGCCGGCTACACCGGCAGCTACTGCGAGGAGCAGGTGGACGAGTGCTCCCCTAACCCCTGCCAAAACGGAGCCACCTGCACAGACTACCTGGGCGGCTATTCCTGCGAGGTGGGTGCTGTGGTGGAGCCTGCACCCCCAGCAGAGAGGCAGGGCGCTGGGTGCTGCCTGCTGCTCTTCTGCCATCGTTGGAATCATGTCCCAGCCTTTTCTGTGCTTTGAGATCCACGGGGGGAAAGTGCCCGTTACTGCCATTCTTCTGAAAAAGCTGCTGTTCAAATATCAGACCAGCCTAGTGCCCCTTTGCCAAAATAAAGGCTGAGGGTGTTCCCTGGGTTTCTTTTGCAGCCGCTCTCCTGTGCTGTGCTGCAGTGTGGGGTGATGGCAGTGAAGGTTGTTTGGCCCTTTTGGTGGGGTTGTGATAGCTCCCAAGGGCAGGGGCTGGAATCAATCAGGCATCTGCAGGAACCATCTGGGAACTCAGGCTGAGTAGGACCATTCCTAGAGCGAACACCTCTAACCGTTCCCCTCTTCCCTCCTTGCAGTGTGTGGCTGGTTATCATGGAGTTAACTGCTCAGAAGAGATCAATGAATGCTTGTCCCACCCGTGCCAGAACGGAGGAACCTGCATCGATCTCATCAATACCTACAAATGCTCCTGCCCTAGAGGAACTCAAGGTAAATTAATTCCCCCGGCTGGGGCATTAGCGGGCCGAGTACCGAGATCCTCGGGAGCTGCTCATTAGCCGCCTGGGCTAGCAGAAGGGGGAGCAGCAGTGGGGGCTTGCTTGGCTTGCTAGCGTAGCCGCCAAGGCCGCGTGGGCTCGGGCCACAGGGTGCTGCGTGTGTCCAGCGGTGGCCCCCAGCCAGCCACTGGGCGGGCCAGCCCAGCCCCTTGGCAGGGGGGTGCTCGAGGGAGCGGCGGGCACCCCGATACTGTTTGACGAGCTGTGTGGGTTGTTCCCCCGTTTCTCTAGGGGTGCACTGTGAGATCAATGTGGATGACTGCAGCCCTTTCTTTGATCCTGTCACCCTGGGGCCCAAGTGCTTTAACAATGGCAAGTGCACGGATCGGGTAGGTGGCTACAGCTGCATCTGCCCCCCTGGCTTTGTAGGGGAGCGCTGCGAGGGAGACGTCAACGAGTGCCTGTCCAACCCCTGTGACGCGCGCGGCACCCAGAACTGCGTGCAGCGGGTCAATGACTACAAATGCGAGTGCCGGCCGGGCTACACAGGTGAGCACCGTGGCCACAGCCCCAGCGCCCAGCCCTGCAGCCCCCAGCATCCCCGCTGCGTCCCTCCGTGCCTCACATGTCCCTCCGTGTCTCACACATGTCCCTCTGTGTCTCACACATGTCCCTCTCCCTTGGCAGGACGCCGCTGCGACACGGTGGTGGATGGCTGTAAGGGCAAACCGTGCCGGAACGGCGGCACTTGTGCTGTTGCCAGCAATACCGGCCGTGGCTTCATCTGTAAATGCCCCCTGGTAGGTATCCGCTGCCCTTGGTGGGGAGCCTGGCACGGGACTATGCTGAGGGAGCAGCCAGCTTTGGAGGAGACACACTTGTCATTATGAAGGGGATGGTCTAACAGGGTTTACGCTGTGGGCTATTTTTGTCCATCACTAGCTCCAAGGGAAGCCCCAGAGCAACGCCCTGTTTGTGTCTACATGATTCACTAGTTTGTGCTTGGTTTCCCAAAGCATGTGGGTGTTTAATGCTACTCACAGCAGCGCATCAGTGATGCTAACTCCCTCCTTGCTGTCACCTCCGCAGGGTTTTGTTGGTGCCACTTGCGAGAATGACTCCCGCACGTGCGGGAACTTGCACTGCCTGAACGGAGGCACCTGCATCTCCATCCACAAGAGCTCCAAGTGCATGTGTGCACCGGCCTTCACGGGCCCCGAGTGCCAGTACCCGGCCAGCAGCCCCTGCAACTCCAACCCCTGCTACAACGGGGGCACCTGCGAGTTCTTCAGCGACGCTTCCCCCTACTACCGCTGCAACTGCCCTGCCAACTTCAACGGCCTCAACTGCCACATCCTTGACTTCGATTTCCAAGGTGGCATCGGGCAGGATATCATCCCGCCCAAAATCGAGGAGAAGTGCGAGATCGCGGTTTGCGCAGGGTACGCGGGCAACAAGATCTGCGACGGGAAATGCAACAACCACGCGTGTGGCTGGGACGGAGGGGACTGCTCCCTCAATTTCAACGACCCCTGGAAGAACTGCTCCCAGTCCCTGCAGTGCTGGAAGTACTTCAACGACGGCAAGTGCGACTCGCAGTGCAACAACGCTGGCTGCCTCTACGATGGCTTCGACTGCCAGAAGTACGAAGGGCAGTGCAAGTAAGTGACCTGCTCCTTGGCCCTCCTGCTTTAAAGCCATCACCTCTCTCTATGTTGATCATCTGGGAATATTTTCTGGTTGTATCCACTAAAACTCTGACGTTCAGGTGTTATTTTATAGCTTATTTGGCTTTCCACTCACTGCTCTGCTGTATATGTCCTGATATATATATACATTTGTGTGCCTCTCAAGCCACCATGTGGCATCCACACCTGTGGAGTTTACTGAGTTTTACATCCACTTAGAAGCTTTCTGTGTTTGCCTCTTTCTGGGTTGCTTCCCTGGCCTTGCCTGTATCATGTCCCAGTGAATTTCCTTCGTGCCATCCCTGCTTGCATCACCCCTGCAGCCATCCACTGCTCCGTTATTCTGTGACCCACCGTGGTAACACAGAGCGTTTTAGCGTGGTGAGAGCTCAGAGGGAGCCCAGCCAGAACACACGATGATGTTAGCAGCCAGGCATTCACCAAACATTGTTTTTGGCAACAGCAAGAACTCCGTTCCAAATTCCTGGACGAACTCTGGTTTGAGTCGCTATTCTGTGTCCCCACATCTTCTCTGAGTCACAGTAATTTGTCCTTGTCGTGTTTCGCCTAAAATGCAGCTTATAACTAGGCAGCTGCCACCCTTCATCCCCAGAGGTGTACAGTTTGCAGCACTGCATGAAACAATTCCCTTTTCTGTAAATATTTTTAGTGTCCATCAGGATGAGCAGTACTTAGATGAAAGAGTTACCCTTGTGAAACACAGATTATTTGCTCAGCAGGTAGGTAACCTGAGCAGTATTTAGTCTAACATATCCTTCTGCCTTTCTCTTCTGCCCAGCCCTCTGTACGATCAGTACTGTAAAGACCACTTCTCCGATGGTCACTGTGACCAGGGCTGCAATAATTTTGAGTGTGAATGGGATGGTCTGGACTGTGCAAACAATATGCCGGAGAAGCTGGCGGATGGCACCCTGGTCGTGGTGGTGCTGATCACTCCGGAGAACCTGAAGAACAATTCCTTCAATTTTCTGCGGGAGCTGAGCCGCGTGCTGCACACCAACGTGGTCTTCAAGAAGAACCCCAAGGGGGAGTATATGATCTTTCCATACTATGGCAATGAGGAAGAGCTGAAAAAACATTACATAAAGAGGTCCACGGAGGACTGGTCAGATATGTCTAGTGCTGTCATCAACAAAGTGAAGAGCAGCCTCTACTCCAGAGCTGGCAGGAGGCAGAAGAGAGAGCTGGATCAGATGGACATCAGAGGGTAAGAGGAATCAATGAGTTGTTTTTGTTTTTGTTTTTGCTGAGCAGCCTTTGTTTTCTGTGTTGATAATAGTAACATGCTATGAAGAAAAGGATGTGGGCCAGATAATTGTATTTTGATGTTGCTTTCTGCATGAATAGAGACCGGATTTGGCTCTCTTGTGGGAAAAGCGAGCGATTGCTCAGGAGTCCCCGAGACGAAGCCGCAGCAGCTCTCACGATTAAAGGAGTCCTGGGTATTGTTAGGAGCCAGCACTGGCCTGGGTGGGTCCTTGAAGCAGCGGCTGGTCTGACCATCTGTCTGACTTCAGGAAGTCATTAAGTTAAGCCTCAGTTTCTCCCTGGGAAATGCTTTCTGTAGCTTTGTTGTAAAACTCAATTACTGCAAACGGCAAGAGTTTGCAGATCTTTGGTATAAACATATAGATCCAGCCTTCCCGCTCTCTGTGGACTCAATCAAAAGTCTTGAAACCAAAGGAGTTTCAGCAAGGAAGCTGATGTGAAAAGATCTTAAAGGCTCCTTTATAGCTTTCGTATTTAAGATGCTGCAGTGCCTGGGTAATTCTAAAGCAGAGAGTAAAGCAGAGACTCCTGTGCATTCCTGTGGACAAGGATTTAGACTTCCCTTCATTCACATAAATCCAACAGCCCATCGGCGTGAGCTGCAGGGCTCGGGCCACAGAGAAGCCAAGAAATGGGTTCCCACCTCCTAACAGCCCCTGATAGGGGGTTAAGGAGGGAAGGGAGATGGGTCTTATCTGTCTTTTCAGTGTGATCATCCCTCCTTACTTTTCATTGACTCTTCTCTCACACAGATCCATCGTTTACTTGGAAATTGATAACCGCCAATGCATCCAGTCCTCTTCCCAGTGCTTCCAGAGTGCGACCGATGTGGCAGCTTTCCTGGGTGCCTTGGCCTCCCTCGGCAACCTGAACATCCCCTATAAAATAGAAGCTGTTAAAAGTAAGTGCAGTTGGCTGGATGGAGAGGAGAAACCACTGAAACTTTCCAGCCCTATCCATGTGCAGCCATTTGTCAGCTGGCTCAGATAATGATCTGGGCACAGTCTGCTTTCAATAACCTTGCATTTATTTTTTCCTTAAGTCTGTTTTCTAAAAAATAATACAAAAAATAGTTTAGTATTTTTGCTTATTCCAGGTTTATTTCAAAATCATTATGCTATAAAAGTTCTTTTTTTTAAAAAAAAAAAGAAAGGAAAAATCAACCAGCTCCAATCAATCAGTGACATGCAAGGAGTTGAAGTTTGTATCTTGAAAATCCCCCCTAAATCCTTTTGTCTTAACAGCTCAATGCAAGCACAATGATTTGAAGTTTGCTAATCCTTTTCCTTAAAGGAGAAAAAAGTAAAGCTGTCTCCTGATGCAGCTGGCTTGTGCAGTGGAGAATTTGCCGATAGTTTGCAATTCTGATTAATAGCATATAAAATGACCTTATTTTGGGGAGGGGGGGGCTGATTTGGATCAGCCTTAGGTACCTTTATTAACTAATTTTGCCTCATTTCCACTCTGTCACGGGTTTGCTATGCAGCTTAATGTCTCAGCGTCTCCCCGTGCCCCCCTGTTTCGCAGGTGAGACCGCGGAGCCCACGAGGAGCTCGCAGCTGTATCCTATGTACGTGGCGCTGGCGGCGCTGGTCCTGCTGGCCTTCATCAGCGTCGGGGTGCTGGTGTCCCGCAAGCGCCGCAGGGAGCATGGGCAGCTCTGGTTCCCCGAAGGCTTCAAAGTGACCGAGTCGAGCAAGAAGAAGCGGCGAGAACCGCTCGGGGAGGATTCTGTTGGACTCAAGTGAGTAATCTGCTCGCTAACCCGTTAGACACAGCAGACTGGGGCTGCTCGGGAGCTTCTCTCGAGGAACCCCATCGAGTTTCGTCCTTTACTGCATCGTATCGGTGTAACGGGGAGGAGGAAATTAGGGTTTCTTAGAGACCTGCATGGGGAAAATAGTGTTGCAGTCTGGAGGAATATTTAAATGCTTCACAGTCTATTTGCACTTGTTAAAAAAACTAAATCAAAGGCAGCTTGAGGGGAGCATTCTGCAATTGCCTTGTTCGTTTCTGGTTTCAGTTTTTGCATAGAGATAAGCACAGGTAGATAATCAGGTTGAAAATCACACAGCTTCTTGCGGAGGAATTAATTTCTTAAATGCTTTTATTTTTAAAGACCCCTCAAAAATGCTTCAGATGGCACATTGATGGATGACAACCAAAATGAATGGGGTGATGAGGAGACCTTGGACACCAAGAAGTTCAGGGTAGGTTAACTGCAAGGTTTCCTTTTTGTGTTGCAAATAGTCACTTGCCCAGTTTTGACACGGAGGGAGCAGAGTGCTGTGAGAAGCAATGGACCCGTCGGGGCCCAGCCTGTGCTGCTGAAGGCTCCTTTTCAAACCTGCGTGACAAATGCAGCTTTGTGACTTGCAGAACTTTCCAAGTTACAGCTCCGTTTCTGTCCTCCCACCCCCGTGCTCTGCGTTTTCTTGGTGTTCACTTCCTTTTGTCCTTTCTCAGTTTGAGGAGCAGGCGATGCTCCCCGACACGGATGATCAGACAGATCACAGGCAGTGGACTCAGCAGCACCTGGACGCCGCCGACCTTCGCATATCCTCTATGGCACCTACTCCACCGCAGGGCGAAATCGATGCAGACTGCATGGATGTCAACGTCAGGGGTCCCGGTAAGGCAGAATCCTTGCTTTTGCTGTGCTACTTGTCAGTAAATCTAAAATCTCTCAGCCAAATGTCAAGACATCAGTGCTAGCCATTCTTCTACACCACAGGCTTTCTCTTCTGCACGACTTAGAGAGAGACCCTGTTGCATTTTGCTTTCCATAAGATCTCTTTGTTTAATCACAGAGATGGCACAGAAAAAGCACCTATTAGAGGACACAGAAAAAGCACCTATTAAATCACCCAGCTTCTCTCTCTGCTATTCCAAAATTCCTCCACCAAACTGCATGGTTCAAGATCTTTGTGAATATGTCTCTGAAATAATTAAAATATTTAAGGCTTTACCACGTACCAAAGTTTGCTTTGAGCAACCTTCCATATAGACTGCACCTTGCATGTTGCAATGTCCAAGCCTGCAGACAAAATAGGAAAACCAGTGAGTGATGAGATGCCACTAAAGAATTTCAGATCCATATCAGAGGAAGGATAATCACGTTTCATGTCGGGAACAAAGTCTTTAGGCACCCGTGAGAATAAGCAGCTATTGCAAACAGAACATCTTGCTGATATGCCTGCACCACAGATGGGTAAGAAGCCTTTTTTCACCGAGTTCCTCTGTGTTTCCCAGATGGCTTCACCCCGCTCATGATCGCCTCGTGCAGCGGCGGAGGGCTGGAGACGGGCAACAGCGAAGAGGAGGACGATGCCCCCGCGGTCATCTCCGACTTCATCTACCAGGGCGCCAGCCTGCACAACCAGACGGACCGCACGGGCGAGACGGCGCTGCACCTGGCCGCCCGCTACTCCCGCTCCGACGCGGCCAAGCGCCTGCTGGAGGCCAGCGCCGACGCCAACATCCAGGACAACATGGGCAGGACGCCCCTGCACGCGGCGGTCTCTGCCGATGCCCAGGGAGTCTTCCAGGTACCTCCACCTTTCGCCGCGTCTCTCGGGGGGTTCTGTCCCGCTCTATCTGTGGGTAGAAGTATTTGGGCTGCGTGTTTTGTTGCTGATCCAGTCCTTGCTTGAGGAAGTCATAACTTCAATGAGAATTTATTCTAGACAGTCAGTTTTGCTGTAGTCATTACTGCCCTGGCAAGGTACGAGGCAAAGTCTCGCAGACCGAAGCCTCTTTTATCTGAACAGAGCATCAGTGTGAGTGTCCCCGTGGCTGCTCTCCTGGGACACATCTGCCCTGGGATGGGTGGCTCCAGGGATGAGTGGTTCCAGGGACCCCGCACTTGGGAAGGGGTTGCTAAGCCCTGGACGTGGGTGCCTCTCTGTGGTCTCTGCCTCTCGTGATGTTTGCGTTTCCTGCGCCTTGATCTCGTTGCGGCAGATCCTGATTAGAAACAGAGCAACCGATCTGGACGCCCGAATGCACGATGGCACCACCCCCCTCATCCTGGCTGCTCGCTTGGCCGTGGAGGGCATGCTGGAGGACCTCATCAACTGCCACGCGGATGTCAACGCCGTGGACGATCTCGGTACTGCAGGCACCTCACACGCATCCCTTCTCGGAGGCGGAGGGAAGGGGCTGCTTGCTGTTCCTCTTGCCACTTGCTAATGCATCTCGTATTTCATGGTTGTCCTTCCCAGGCAAGTCAGCCCTGCACTGGGCAGCTGCTGTGAATAACGTTGAAGCTGCCGTGGTCCTCCTGAAGAATGGTGCCAATAAGGATATGCAGAACAATAAGGTACGGGGCTTCTAGGCTGGCGAATACACAAGAAAAGAACCCTCACGAGTAGGGTGAAGGGTAGTTTTTGCCTAAGCTACAAGACTGTCTGACACTGTGATTCTTATTCGGTTGTTCTGCTGTGATTGAAGCTGATGGGTTTAATTTGAAGTAGTAGCTTTAGATTTGGTCTTAATGGTGATGTTGTGCAGTGCTTGGTGAGGGGTAGGATATGATGTTAGCGTGGCCATCTCCCCGGGCTCCTTTAGGGTTCTTGGTTTGTGTCCAAGGAGATGGCTCAGCAGGGTTAGAACAGGCAGCAGCAAAACCTGCCCAGAGACAGCTACGAGTCTCTCTGACCCAGTTCCATGGTTGTGGGCATGGGGCTCAGGGCAGCATTAGCCGGGAGAACCTGCGAACATAAAGCCAACCCTCTCTGCTGGGTTTCTAGGAGGAGACCCCGCTGTTCCTCGCAGCCAGAGAGGGGAGTTACGAAACGGCCAAAATCCTCCTGGACCACTTTGCAAACCGCGACATCACGGACCACATGGACCGGCTGCCGCGGGACATCGCCCAGGAGCGCATGCACCACGACATCGTGCGCCTGCTGGACGAGTACAACCTGGTGCGGAGCCCGCCGCTGCACGCCGGCCCGCTGGGCGCCCCCACGCTGTCCCCGCCGCTCTGCTCGCCCAACAGCTACATCGGCAACCTCAAACCCGCCGGCCAGGGCAAGAAGGCCAGGAAGCCGAGCACCAAGGGCCTGAGCTGCAACGGCAAGGATTCCAAAGACCTCAAAGCCCGCAGGAAAAAGTCCCAGGATGGAAAAGGATGCCTGCTCGACAACTCCAGCGTGTTGTCGCCGGTAGACTCCCTGGAGTCGCCCCACGGGTACCTGTCGGATGTTGCCTCTCCTCCGCTGATGACCTCCCCGTTTCAGCAGTCCCCTTCCATGCCTCTGAATCACCTGCCGGGCATGCCGGATGCCCACATGAGCATCAACCACCTCAACATGGCCGGGAAGCAGGAGATGGCCATGGGCAGCTCCG